TACCTTAAGAGTAAAACTTTTTAAATATCTCCAAATCTATTTTTTATACTTATATCTTTGGGGATATATTAATGATATATAAATGGTTTTTAATGAGATATTCATACAGAGTAGAGTCTGCAGATAATTAGAGTAAACACTGAAGCAAGAAAGATAAATGCCTCATAATATATCTATCTCTATGGCTTTTGTATCCAACATTTTTACCATTGAATTCATTCTTTCATGTAGTGCCTTATGTAAAAATAACAGAAACACTTTCTTAGTTAAGGATAGAACAATTTCTTACCATTTCATAATTTTTTATATTTCCTCAATGCCAATTTCAGAACTCAGTGATTATTAAGTGCTGAGTTAATATTTTAAGTTTTGTCTTTCCACCTGTAGATCAGTCTTGTCTGGGAGAAATAATGTGAGTCAATTAATACATTATCACTAATTAAAGTTCTTTGAAGCTTGATAAAAGAAAACTCAGGACAATTAGAGTTAACAGAGAAAAGGTAGAAGAGAAACATTTTAATGATATTGAATCAGATATATTCAAGAGGGAAAGCTATGACCGATGAAAGGGAAAACAAACAAACAAACAAACAAACAGAAACACGTCAAAAGTGGAAGTGCAGAGTGCAGAAGGCAGAAACAACTGTTCAGTACTTTTTTATATGGTACAACTTGATTTTGTTCCAATCCCCTAATAGGATATCTGCTAGTGTAATGCCAGACAAAAAGACATGTGTCAAGCATGGGGAAAAACTGCAGATTGCAAGAAAAAGTAACCTCTAGACAATAACTAAGGAGCTTGGTTGGACTTTATGTGCCTCTGGCATCGAGTCTTTAGAAGAGTAAAAAGGTTTTTCCAAAGGTGACTTGGCACAAGTGGTGGCCTTGTGTAGCAATTTATTTTTCAATGGCTTTAAAATTCTCATTTCTTTCCTTAATCTTTAACTTTTTTAACTTTCCGTATAACCTAACTCTTCAATAGATTTTCTTTGAAGTAAAAATTTTTGGCTTTTACAATTTTTTGACTGCCTTGTTAGTTTTTATAATGATGTTCTGGTTAGAATGTCCTCTCTTTCACTTTTCTTTCTTTTGTACTTAAAATCACATCACAAGCTGTCAAATAGATATTATGAGATTTTGTTTCATACTAGAGCCATTCTTATACCAATCTCTAACATTTTTCTTTACAGTTAGTATTAACGTAGATAAACATGAATAACTAAAAACTTAATGTTCAAATCCAAATTCAAGTTTATTCTTAGGCATTTCAAGCTGCTTCTCTACCTTAGTTTAGAAAGCCCTCCTGAGAGCAAGCAGGTTTTCCTACACTAGACCTGGGTGGTTTCAGGCTTTCTCCTGACACTTTGCCAAACCAGTCAACTTGGTGATTGTCCAGAGAGAGTGAATGCGGTGTCACTTGGTCCCTGCTGTTGTGTGAGATGCAAGGTTTCCACATGATTCAGTTGTCTGGGGTTGGAGAAGTTCATCTGCACCCCCAACAAGTGGCCTGCCTCTGCCACACAAGCCTTCCTGGGTCAACCCGATTTTGGAGACCCCTTCCTCAGTGCCCTGGTGGCCACATCCAGGTTCACCCCAAGTTGTGTTGAGGCATTAAGGAGTGCAGAGGTTTCTGATATCAACTGAATAAATATTTGGAGAGTGTGTTCTGGAAAAACAAAAACAAAAACAAAACACTCACTACTCCAATCTCAAATTACCAAATAATATTTTCTTACTTTTTAAAAAATAATTGCTATAATTTTGATAACATGACTATAGCTACATTTAATAAACATCATTAACCTGTAGTAGGCAAGCAGAGGGAGGCTTCTAAAAAGGTTTAATATGATTAGGTTGGTTAAGATAATCTGGTTTATATTCATGATAATACACATAAGCTAATATATATATTTTTTGGTAAAAGATCTGTAGTGGTTTTGTAAATATTTACTCCACTGTGATGTTCACATTTAATTCTGTCTTTTCTCTGGGATAACAGTTTCTGATAACAGTGATAGGAAGTCCATTATATTTCATGAAAAAGAAATGTACTGAGAATATCAAAGATATCTTATTGTTATGCCATGATTCCCAGTGAAGGAATTTGGGAGACTTTTGGAGACTAGACACAAAGATGCTTGTTTTTTTCCCCCTAATTTAATTAATATGTTTGCTTGAGCATTTTATCTTTTTTTCCCAGTAGTAGTTTGATCTTATTAACTCAGTGTACTGATAAATATTAGTAGTGTGGTTAAATTGTGCAAATACTTTATTTTTAATGTGTAACCTCTTATCTCCTATAATTATTAAGATAAACATTTAACTATGTTTTATTTTAGTCAAGATGCATTTAATTCAGCATATTTCACAGAAGGAATTAATTAACCTTATGAAATTCATAGAGAATTCTTTCATTATTGCAATAATGAAAAAATAACTAAAGAGAAAAAAACTAAGATTTTAGAAGGAATTATTGTTACTCATGTTACATAATGAAGTTAAAAGCAAAAACTATAGATGAACAGAATGAACACTGTGATTGACATTCTAAAGGGCAATTTTCTGCAGCGCAGAATAGCCAGAAACCTTGGTGCACACCAAACACATCTACAGCGATTAGAGATGGGGAGCACTTAGCCAAGACATCCTGCTGCCGTAGAGCAACCAGGGATGGTGCGAGTCAGAAAGCAGAAAACAATGTTGGGCTCAGTATGAGAACTACAGTTACCTCATCATTATGTTTGGTAATTCACACTTCTATATGCTTGGCAATACCATAAGAACTGCTAAGCTTTTAATTTTCAGTATCGTTCATCTCTTAGAGAGTAAAAACAACATTGGCACATCTAGAATAAACTCTAAAAATATTTGCAGTTTCAAAAAGAAGTATTTAGGAATATAACTTTATTATCGTTTAGCCAAGTATATTTTTAAGTATACATCTATATGTTGACCATTTCCCATCAAAATTGATGGCTTAGTTGATGCGGGAACTCAACCTTTAATTTAAATGCAGTAATGCTGGATAAAACATAACTATTAAAATATATGTATATAACCCAATGTAAAAGAAAGAAAGAGAAACCTTTGAGTACCAGAAATGAAATCGGAGATCTAAGCAGAAGTGTTAAGAAGAAGCTAAAGCCCTGATGGAACATAGGTACTTCAAAATTTAGGTGCTAGGAGCCAGGAGCTTAGATTTTAACTTTCACTATATAACAAGTCTAAGACCTAAGGAATTCTTCGTGTAATCCAGGAGGCTAACCAGCTACATTGGTCGTGAAGCATAAAATAGAAAAAAGATAAATCTCTATCATCTTTATCCTATAGTATTGAGTGGTAAAATCGTCATCTTGGAGAAAATGAATCCTGTGAAACTTGAAGACGTGGTAACCTGCCACCGTTGAGGGTTAGAAATATCAGAGTGATAAAATAAAATGGAAACTGGTCCAATGTGGGTAAAGCTCCTACATCCCCAACAAGGATAAATTTAAAATGCATTGTAGAGATGGTTTCTCACCCCAGGGCTTCTTGGACATCTACAGGAATTATCACTGAAGTTACCCTGACTGGAGGTCAACTAAAATTTAAAAAGCCATAATATGAGTAAAGATCATCATGAGGGAGAGACATGAGGGATAGTCAGCAGATATAAGAAACAGGAGATTTAACAATGAGGGTCTGTGGACAAATCTGGAAAGAATTTACAAATATATTAAAAACATTGAAATAGTTAACAGAAGTTATAGTTACCATAAAAACAGATTGGAAAAATAACCAAATAGAACTACTACACATTAAAAATAAAGTCATTAAAATATAAAATTCAATCGTCATGATAAATATACTAATATACAGCTGAAGAAAAACTAATTAACTGTTGGGCTTATATGTGGAAACCATCCAGAATGCAGCATAATGAGATAAAAAATATAAAAGGAAATTTTATAAAATGGGAGATGGATTGAGAAGTCCCAACATATATTTAATAAAAGCTATTTAAGAAAAGATTAGATATAATGGGAGAAAGACAAAATTTGAAGAGATATTCATGAAGGATTTTCTAGAATTGAAGAAAAATATGCATACTCAGAATGAAGAACTGCACCAAGTCCCCCAAAACAGGATATATGCAAAGAAATCCACCCTCAGACATTGAAATTACAGAAAGTCAGGGGGAAAAATCTTAAATGCTAACCAAATGTGAAGACAGTTGATCCACCAAATTATGAGTTTTAGACTGACAGCAGTAGCAGAAGTCAGAGCCGGTGGAATAGTACCATCAAAATACTGAGAGGTCATAACTGTTACTCTAGAATTCTATATACAGTTAAACTCTCTTTAAATAATGATAATATTTTCAAAGTCCAAGACAGTAAGGTTTGAAAAACTACCAAAACATTTTCTTCGGAAAGAAATAAACCATATCTAGACTAAAGGAGTTAAATACAGAAACCAAAGATGAAGAAACAATATTCGCCTCCCCTTTAATTTAAAACAGCTTTAATAACTAAATCATTTTATTTCATAAATCATGAAAACTTTGTGTTATTTTTTATATATAAAGATACTTAAAAGAAAAATCTGTTTTTGTTTCAATTTTCAGTAAATATATATAAATATCCAACAATGCTAGTATATTTAAATAAAACATGAAATCTACAGAGAATAAAATATGTGACTGTGAAGCATTTTTGATGTCTTGTGATAGTGTTTATGTTAAGATGCTAAGGAAAATCAATCTGTAATACATCATATTCACTATTATGTGAACTGAATAAAAAACATGTAGGAAAAATATTGTAACGCAATGTACCAAAAATGGTAAAAGTAATTTTTGGTAGCATAATAATACTTTTCTTTTTACTTTATACTTTTTCAAAATCTACAATGTCTATATATCATTTTAATAATAGAAGAACTAAATACTTAATAACATAGATGTATATTTTACTAAGTTATGAATTTTACTAAATATACATCATGTTTATATTTTACAGGCAAATCTCTCCTCACCATCCTCTACAGTATCTGAAAGTCAGCTGGTATGTATCCTCTTATTAAGTCATAGGCCTACTTTAAAAAATTCTGATCCCTCGAGACTTTACCTGAACGAAAATGAACTGAGAATATATTTACTACTTATAAGTTTATTTGCCTACTAGTCTAATAAAAGTTTACTAATGCTTTACTAAAGCTTCATGGTGGTTGTTTGACAGACTACAAACTACATAAAACCATACATAGACCTTATTTGCCAGTAACTTCCATTCTAATAGTGGCGTTAGAGTGGAATTGGTGGGGTCAGAAGCAAGACCTTGAAATTTAGAGGAGAGAGTTTACTTCCTGATGAGATAGATCAAATAATGTAGGATAGGTTCTGGACTTGAGGAAATGGGAAATGAGATATTTTAGATGGGAAGATTATCATGAGAATGATATAGACCAGTGATGAGCAATAGAAATATAATGGGGACCATAAATGGAAGCTACATATGTAATTTAAAATTTACTAGTAGGCACATTAAAAAGTAAAAAGATACAGGTCACGTCAATATTATATTATTAAATATTCAATTATACTTTATTATACATTCAATAATAAATTTTATTTAATGGTATATAAAATCACTTCAACGTGTATTCAGTATAAAATTGAAATATTTTACATTCCCTTTATTTGGACAAAGTTTTTGAAATCTGCTGTGTAATTTACATTTACAGTCCATCTCAATTCAGAATAGCTACATTTCAAGTATTCAACACGGGGACTAGTGACTACTGCCTTGGACAGTGGAGATCTAAACTCTAAAATCTGTTATTTATAGATAAAAATTTGATTACATAAAAGAAATATTTTTGCTTAGCAAATGGAAACCATGAATAAGTTCCCTGGATATTACTAGTTAAAGATTTTCTTTATATCTTTTAATTACCGCTGTTTATAATTATAAATTCCTGAACAATTTTACCTTCAGTAAAATTAATGAAAATTTCTAATAAAGCAGTTTGACACACTAAGAAGACAAATCACTGCTTAATACTGATTATTTTCCTTTTTAAAGCAATTGTTTTAGTATCCTACGTCCATAACCAACATGTCCTCTTGTCGTTATCATGTCACAATGATGACGATATTTTTATTTTGTTTGAAAAGTTAAAAAAGGCATAGTCTAACTCTTAAAATAAGCTGATCAATCAAACTGCTTGGATATGTTGGTGTTTATATGTATAGTGTATGTATGGGATGTGTGTGTGTGTATGTGTGTGTGTGTGTGTGTGTGTGTAATTTTAATGTCCATTGGCTTAGAACAGTGGCAAGCAGTATGATATAGTTGAAAGAATGCTGGAATGGAAGCCAAAAAAATTCACCTTATGCTTCCTGCTCTAACACTAACTACTGGACTGACGAAAGATAAGTCACAAATTTGGGAATCTGGGCCTCAAGCATCTAATTGAACAATGAGAGCATTTTACTACATACATGCCAAGCTCCTCTAGCACTATGAGTTCCATGATTTCTAACATGGTAAAGTGAAGGAGTTGCCATGGAAACAAGCACTGCAATAACATAATAAATTGAACAGGTTCCCACTTTAGATATGGAAATATTATTACAACTATTTTAATATTTAAAAAAATATACTTATTTTTTGAGAATAATTTTGAAAATCAGGAATATTTTGATATTCTCATTTATAATTATACTTAGTTTATAAAATACAGATTTTAGATACTGAACGATTAAATGTATGTATTTAGTCATAAACAAATAAGTATTTGTATATATAAATATATTATCAAACTAACATATATATGACAGTTCTTGGCTTAATATTTTAAGAAACTATTTCAAAGAGGCAAAAATATATAATGACTTTATAAAATAGGACATAGTAAAAACAACTCTGTGATACAATAAACCTTTTCCTGCATAATAAAATAATTCTATAAATTGTACATTTGTGATCTCTAGGGGCAAAAATACCTGGCATTGCTTTGACTGATTCTGATGATTTCTTTGCATTTATTTTAGACTTTTTCTTTAAAGAGTTCAAGGAATTTCTTAACCAAGTTTTAAATTAAGTTTTAATCCTCATATGCCCTTGAGATATTGGTATGTTTGTTAAGGGATTATTATCAAGCAAGCTTATCACATTTAAAAAGGATATCTCCTGCATTGATGTAATTATTCAATTCAATGACTTTGACTTCTATTACATTACCTGGGAATAAAATAGATTAGAAATAATTTCGTGCAAAAAATGTTTACAGCATTTGCATCTTTAAGGATTTAAAATTTTACTCTTAAGTAACATAATTATAAATAAAATGATAATTTTTTCATTTCTATGAACAAATTTCCAATATTTGCCATTATGAATTCTCTTTGGGATAAAACTATGAAAAATTTGAATAAATAGGAATGCCTTTGAAAAACAAAACTATATATATATACATACAAATTCTCATGTGTGCTTATAACATACACACACATATAGATGCCATACGACAGCTAATTCTGATTATATATATTGCTTTTTGTTTATCTGTATACATGTGTGTGTAGCAGAAAATCAAAATTACTGGGAACATGTAGATTATAGTTAAATTACATAAGTAAATGTATGTTTTGTATAAAATAAGTAGATAAATTATTTGCCTCCTATTTTAGGGGGGAATGTAATAAATTGGTTGAAGTGAAAATACATGATAAATTGCTGTAGTAGCACAAGCTTAATACAGAAGCCATTTTGCTTTTAAGATTTGGCTTCTTAAAAATATACCATTTTTTCATACTTTGTTCTTTCTAACTTGCTTATTTACATTGCCACTGTGCCAATTCAACATTGGAAGGAAAAAAAGGAATATGACTTGGCCCTTACTCTTAAAATATTTTAATTGTTTACTCTAGAAGCCAAATTACTTAGTAAGGAGCTAAGGGAGAATAGTTTGTGGGCCCTTGTAAAACTAGTTTACCAATCTGTGCCTCAGTGTCTCTTCTTCTATTAAACAACATTACATTATATTTAAACTGGAAAGGAACTTAGAGATGAGGGTATTGGAAATACCCATCTATAAAACAGAGATTTGTATAACTCCTCCGTCAACCTAAAGGGGTTATTTATGATATCATATACATAAAGTTGCCAGTGTAGTCCTGTGCATATGGGAGGTGTTATTGTTGTACACAAAATCTCTAAAATATTTTTGAAATAATATGCACAGCCATTTGGCAGATGAAACAGACTCACATAGTTTAAGTAGATTATATAAGATCACAGTGTTAGTGGTCATCCTTGTTCTTTGTAATTTTTAAAAAGGAATCATTATTCAAGGGGCATTAAAAAAGATTGATGAAGGAGTTGGGAAATTGGGCCTCTATGAAAGTATGACATTCATTGGGTATCTCCTGTGCCAGGTCCTGGGCTGGCATTTTAGCATTGCCTGCAAAAATGTGATCACTTACTGAAGAGTTGGAGACTGGATAAGGTCAGTTAGGGTGTTGAGGTTTAGCACTTGTGTATAGTGTGTCCCCTAGCATAATAAAGAGAGCAAAAAGAAAGAAGGGTCTGGGTTGAAACTTCACAAGCTTTCCTAATTCCTGAGCTGAGTAATCACCATTTTAACAGAGGCTAGTGGAGAGTCTCTTTTCTCTGGGTAAGAAAACAGGTTGGACTCTGTAAAATGGAGAAACACTGGTCTTCCTTGGCTTTGGCTTTTGAAATATCATGCCACTACAAAATGTTTACTATTGTCCATGATGTAATACTGAATCTAGAGAGTATGAAACAATAGATTTCAAAAATAAGCCACATGGCTATATACAAGTAAAAGTAAATGCAGTTTACAGGAATACTATAAAGAAGAGTACTTAAACTTGCAGATACTTTGTTCCCAGTTCTGAATGCCAGCTGATTTCTCTTGCTTTAGTGGTGCATGACTCATCTTTCTGAGGGCTCTTGAAGTCCCTGTTGTTCAGAAAATGCATCCCTGAAAGCTTTTGTGTAGAACTGATGGCTTCTTCAAGCTTAAAGGCAGTTTGTCCTTGACTAGTTTTTCCTTGACACAACATGCTTAAGTGCTACAGCATTTATCATGTACGCCTCCTCAAGTTTGAGTCATGCTATTGTCTTTTCTTTAACTATTGAAATTTTTCAATTCAGCCAATCTGTATTGTGTACATTCCGCAAAAATTTTTGGAGCCATGGGATGTGGTTTATAATTATTGAAATTCTATGTGTTTATTTTTGTACAACTATCATATTAATTATAACTTTTCGGGAAAAAAACATTACATGTGTACTTTTTTGGATAGTCTAGATCATTTAGTATCAACAGTCTATTATAAATGTGAAAATAGAAGGAAATGTTTTTTTCCTTTCAAATTCCTTTTATGCTATTTTTTTCTTTACAAAATTCTTTCAAGCATATTATCTTATTCGATTCTCATAATCACCTTGTGAGTTAGTATGGCAAGAATTGTTATTTTTATTATTCTGGTAAAAAAACTGAAGTACGGATATCTCCAATGACATGTCAACAGTCCCATGGCTAATGGATGGTTTAAAAATCTGTTTTGCGGCCTCCTTCCCCACCCCCATCTTAAGAACTGTAGTGTTTTGAAATCTGAGATATTTCTTTGTGGGAGAGAAAAACTTAAGTATTTCCTTCAAGAATATAATATTGTTTATTTTTAAAAATTAGAGCTAATAAACATTTATTAATTGAATAAATAAATCAGCTAAATGGCTTAGAGAATATTGGTCTTGTTAACAATCTTGACGGGTAGAATGCTTTTGAGTTTCTGAGCTTGTTGCCACAGAAACAAACAAACAAACAAAAAAATCACACTAGAACAGGAAGACTGAAAAAAATATGTAAAAGAAACAACCGTAGCACTTTCATAAACTCTTTGGGTCTATCAAATTGGTAGAATTCCTAGCCAGGCCCACAGAATTTTTTATTATGTTAAAATAATAACTGCTGCGTTTTATTATGTTATTGCTGTTTTATTACACATCTTATATCTTCTGAAGTATAA